TTCTCTGGCTGCCTGCCACCTTAGTGCCATGCACAGAGCTTGCCAACCAATCCCCTGCATGTGCTGCTAGAGGAGCCTGTCAAACTATATAGCTTAACTTATCATAGAATCATAGAATAGTAGGACAGAAAGGGACCTCGAGAAGTCATCAAGTCCAGTCCCCTGCTCCCATGGCAGGACCAAATACTGTCTAGACCATCCCTGATAGACATTTATCAAACCTACTCTTAAATATCTCCAGAGATGGGGATTCCACAACCTCCCTGGGCAATTTATTCCAGTGTTTGGGAGAATCTGTTCTCTTGGGGAGAATCTCTCCTTTTTGCCACCTGCCCAATTCTTGGCATTTTCAGTGTGGGCTACCTAGACACCACGGGTCACAGGATGTCATAACCCCATGGAGACACTCAGGCTGTGTCTACATTGGCCCCTATTCCGTAATAGGGATGCAAATGTAGCACTTTGGAATAGGCAAATCCGCGGGGGATTTAAATATCCCACAGAGAACATACTACCGGTGTATAAAATACTGGGAAAAGAGCACTTAAGCTTTAACCATCATTAAATATAAAGAAAAATGCCATTTCAGATGGAAGTGAAGAAGTCCAAAAGTTTTGGAAACATTTGTGCTAAAGCCAAGGACTCTTCATTTCAAATGTTGTACCCTCCTTAGAAGAAAGTGAGCTCTGGGCCCCAGAATACGAGTACTTTAAAAACAACTTATAACTTAATGATCACACATACTAAAATATTAGTTTGGCTACTAGAACAAATCATAGAACCATAGAGCTGGAAGAGACCTCAGAAGGTCATCAAGTCCAGCCCCCTGCTCTAGGCAGGACCAATCCCAACTAAATCAACCCGGCCAGGGCTTTGTCAAGCCGAGACTTAAACACCTCTAGAGATGGAGACTCCACTACTTCCCTAGCTAATCCATTCCAGCGCTTCACCACTCTCCTAGGGTATGTCTACACTACAGCGTTATTTCGAATTAACTTATTTCAAATTAGTTCATTCAAAATAAGCTAATTCGAAATAACGCATCTAGACCCCCAAAATAATTTGAAATAGTGTTTTGCTATTTCGAAATAGCACATCCACACTGATTGGATGCTGGATCACATTTAAGGGCAACTGAAACTGGTTCCAGCAGGGCATCAGGGCAGTAGTTGCTTTGTGTGGCTGATGTCTGAGGCTATCTGAGGCTCGTGCTTAAAGGGACCCCCCTGGACAGCTGGTTCTCAGCTTTTCCGCTTGCTTGCCTACCTCGCCGAGGGACAGCAAAGCATTTTTCTCTGCGCCTGTCTGTGTCGGTGCTTCCCTTTGGGGATACCGCCGCAGTTGGCAACATGGAGCCAGAGCTTGCCCTGGGCTTTCTGGTGCAGTTTTTGGACTTGCTGCTGCAAGCCTGCCAGCAATGCCTTGGACTCTGCCATGGGGCGCCATGATGACTCCAGCTTCTCGGGCTCCGACTCTGAGCTGAATGGGGCCACCCCCTATCACCAGACGGACCGTTACGGCTTCCTAGGGGGCAACAGTGCCCAGGATGGGTGAGTGGGACACATCTGAGCATCAGAGCACTAAAAGGGGGGCATTGTGGGGGCGGGAGGTGCTGTGAAGGGCATTGCTGGGGTGACCTAGATGCCTGGGTTCCATTCCAAGTCCTGATTTCTTGCACCCTGGATCCATTGTGGGTACTGGACGTTTGGTACCCACATTGCCAGGCCTGCAGGACAATCCCTTGGGTTCTGTGCCAGAATCCAGCATCCCGCCCCTTCTGTGCACTGAGGCTATGGGGTGTTCAAGCCCAAAGAATGGACATACGCGGAGAAGCTGAGCCCGTGGCCTGGGGATGAATCAGCCCACGCCCCAAGCTAAGAGGAGTAGCTTATGGGTGTTGCCCTGCCCTCTGCCTCTTTCCAAGTCTTGCTGCTCCTAGGGGTGGGGCAGAAGCAGAGAGGGGTGGAGCGAAAGCTCATGATACCGTCTATATGTTTTATTAGTCTTTAAGTTGCTACTAGACTACATGTTGTTTTTAACGTTTTTCTCATCTTACGTTAGTGAAGGAAAAGATAACATTTCCTTATTCTATTTTTCCACCCCATTCGTGATTTTCTAGACATCTAACATATTCCCCCACTCTACAGTCATTTCTTTTCCAAGCTGAGATGTCCTATTCTGGTTAATCTCTCCTCATATGGAAGCTGTTCCTTACCCCGTATCATTTCTGTTCCCCTTTCTGTACCTTTTCCAAATCCCGCAGAACTTTTTTTGATGGGGTGGCCAAATCTGTATACAGTATTCACGATGTGAGTGTGCCATGATTTTATATAGAGGAGCTATGATATTTTCTGCCATTTTATTGATTCCTTTCTAATGATTCCCAACATTCTCTTTATTTTTGAGTCTGTGGCTACACATTGAGCAGATGTTTTCGGGGAGCAGCAAGGATTCCAAGATCTCTTTCTTCAGTGGTAGCTGCTATTTTAGACCCCCCCCCATCATTCTTATCTCTAGAGTTGGGGTTATATTTTGCTATGTGCATTACTTTGCATTTATCAACATTGACTTCCATTTGCCCTTGTGTTGCCCAAGCACCCAGTTTTGTGAGATCCCTTTCTAACTCTTAGCAGTCCGTTTTGGACTTAACTGTTTTGAGTAATTTTACATTTGCAAATTTTGCCACTTTACTATTAACCCCCTTTTCAAGAACACTTATAAGTTTCACAGTCCCAGTCCAAATTCAGATCCCAGCAGCACAACACTCATTTTGACTCATTTTATTGCTCTGTAGTACCTGGCGGTATTTTCATTGTGATCTCCCCTCCGCTTCCTCCCCGACCCCCTCCCGGTCAGCCCTGATTCCTACCGACCAGTTCTCCTCCTCCTGATCACCCCTGGCCAGCCCCGCTGCC